AGCCTTCCTGCTCCTCTGAAGCTGCCTCACCTTGTTATCTTGGATTCCTGGCTTTCTCTTTTATTTTAGGAGAGGAATTAGTTGCCACTTGAACCTTGACTGTCAGTCCATTGTATCCAGTTTTCAACAATGTTGCAACTCGCATTTGAATCAGATGTTATAATCTAGTCAAAGGATGTGAGATTGCAACTGCCCAACCCCATCAGTTTTTCTGTACTCTCCCTACCCAATCCCACCCCCCAGACTCTCCATACACTTTCTCAGTCTTAAGGCTGAGATTTGTTCTTGGGCATGCATTCACTTTGCTGGCCACATGCCATAGTCAAATATTATGTCAGTGCACTTTTGGAAAACAAATTGTAAAGGCTTTTTTTATTTTTGTTTGCTGATTCACTGCTGCAGCCTTTTATTGAAAATGTGGCAAATGTGCAAGAATGTGGCATTTCTCCGAATTGACATAGTGCTTAAATTTTAGTGGTAGTTCATGTTATTTTCCCCCCTTTTATGTGGGTGCAAGGTGCAGATTGGAAGCTAAGTGAGTTCTTCAGCTAAACTTGCGAACTGTTTCTTGTCTGGAAACTTAACTAATATTAAACATCCAGATACTACGACACTTCATATCTGGTCAACTCTCTCCTATGCGATTTTTGCTGTCAGACATGACTGTTTCTGTAATGTGTTCATATCACTGTTCTTCATGGGTCCTTCTGTACGGAGAATGGCAGCAATCGTATATTTTAATATAATGCACCTCGAGATTATTTGGAACCTTCTGAAATGTTTGGTGTTAGATTTGTAAGATTTTACAGACTGCAACTGCTAAGCCATGTTTCAGTATTGAGACATTTGATTATGTTCTGTTTTCACAGGATATGGTCTGAAAGTTTACTGTGGATTTAGCTTTGTTGTTTGCTTAATTCTTCAATGTGATTGTAGGAAACAGAGGACCCTATGTCCTTCTGAGCTCACCATACTCTTGGAGTGCTGCCCTCTTGCACGTTGCCTGTTTGGCACTTGGAACACCTGCTCTGCAATTTCCACACCCCGCCCCTCTTCACCGCGCCTCCTCCACTGATATAAAGGTCTTCCTTTTTAGACAATCTCTCAACAAAGCTTTCGGTTGTCAGTCTTAATTACCTCCATACGTGGCTCAGTGCTAAATTTCCTAATTTCTGTGAAGCCCCATGAGGTATTTTGATGTGCTAAAACCAGTAAATTGATATCAGCTATTGTTAATTAACTGTGTAAGCTCTGTTATCTCTCCTTCAGTGTAACGTAAAAGTCTGGTGTCACTTAAACCATCGGGCTCCATATCTGATTGCTTCACCTTTTGATTAATCCGAGACTTTCAAAAGATAATATGATCTCCATTTTTCAAATTCTGTTTTAATAATTCAGTTGAATAAACGGGAAACCATGTTTTAAAGTCACGTGTCCTTGAAATCCAGCTGATAAATTCAAGTTTTTCTCTCCCGCTTCTGACGATATCCTGACCCGCTATCAATCCTACCCTGCATTGTATGCTGCATTTGATGTCAGGTATATTTTCCCTCCAAGAAAGGAAAGGTAGCTTTGGGCCAAGTGAGAGGTGAGAGAAGGTGTCAGGTCTATGACATCCCTCTCCTCTCAGTTCGCCCATAGCTACCTTTCCATTATTGACCGTCTCTTGTTTAAAATCAAACATGGTTTTGAAAAAATGGATAGCTTTGGAGTCATTCATCTGCTAATTTGCAGGAGTTCAAATTGTCACACAGGATTATTTTGAAAGTGCTTGAATAGTCAAACCACTTTTATTGGAAACAAAAACAGAAATGGCTGGAAAAGCTCAGCCGATCTGGCAGTATCTGTGGAGAGAAATCAGAATGAACTCGTTTTGGGTCCAGTGACCCTTCATCAGAATGTTCCTCAGAACCATTCTGAGGATGGGTCACTGGACCTGAAACACTAACTCCTTTTCTCCACAGATGCTGCCAGATGTACTGAGCTTTTCCAGAAATTTCTTTTTTTGTTTCTGATTTCCAGCATCCGCAATTCTTTTTGGAATTTATTCCACTTATATTGCGATTTGAGTGCAATATTTCACAGATGTTTCATGTTTGATGTGATTGAAGCAAGACAGCTCTCAGGATACTTCTCAAAAACTAGTATTTTGATAGTTCCTAGTTTTTCAGTAAATGCAGCAGCTAACTTGTATGTATTGCTTCACAAATAGTCAAGAAGACAAATTAATTTTTTGTTGCAGTTTGTTTTTTTTTTGAGGGACAAACGTGCGTAGAATGAGAAAATTATCCCTTCTCCAAATCGCTTAAATGGTAGGCCTTCCTTTTGGTGCTGAGAACAGAAAGTACTGGTAGTGGATGTAAAAGTTCTGTCTTTTGGAAAAAAAAGTCCAGCAAAGAAATATTTGTCTTGGCTTGGGTTTTTGGGATATTGAATTTGGCAAAAACAGCATGTGGTGAAGCTGTACAGATGAGAAGGTCCCAGGCTTGATTCTTATCTGAACTCAATTAGAGGCAGCAAATGGAATGGGAAAATCGGGAGTTGAAAGTACGCCAAGGATGTGATTCCTGATCATCAGCCAGTGACCACGCTGAAAAAGCCAGGGACGGAGAACCGTCATCTGTGAGCTCCCCCACCCCATCATGTTCTGATAGCCAGCTAACACAGTGATGTTGTTACCACAGGCCACATCTGGGATTGGACCCCATCATCCTTGGGTGGGTTCATAGCAAGAAGAAAAAGGAATTGGCTGGAAGGCTTCTAGGTTTGGCCCATTGTTCTCATGCTAACTTTGTGCAACTGGGATCATGTGGAAGTTTCATCAGAGCTTACTTTCGAAAATCTTTCTGCTAATTGCACACAACAATCCTATCAAAACTGCAGTGTTATTTAATTGGCTGCACAAACTGGAACAAGGTCAGGTTCAAGACTAGTTTCTTCCATGATATTCGTTGAGCCTTTTTGGAGTGGTGATTTCTCAGACCAAATTTCTTATCAGCTTTGTTTTTTCATATTTCAGAGAGCAAGTGATGGCGTAGTGGTATCATCACTTGACTATTCATCCAGAGACCCAGCTCATGTTTTGGGGATGTGCGTTCAAATCCTGCCTCGGCAAATGTTGGACTTTGAAGTCAATAAAGAAAACTCTGAAATTGAGATTCTAATGATGACCATGAAACTATTGCCGAATTTTAGAAAAACAGTCTGATTCATTGATGTCCCACAGGAAAGGAAATCTGATGTCCTTATTTGGTCTGGCCTATGTATCACTCCAATTTGGTTGATTCTTAACTGCCCACTAGGCAATTAGGGATTGGCAATAAATGGTTGACCCCATCCCATGGATGAATTAAAATGAAATTTGAAACGTAGGCAACACAGTTGTCCTGCAAGAATGATCTTGAGTCCACGTACATTGGTAATAGAATGTTTTCTTTGACCCCTGAGGGACTACTAAGTTAATTAATGGTGTTTCTCCACTAATTACCATGAGATGTTCATGTACCTAATTCCCTTCATAGCTCTGTTGTGGAGAGTTCTCTCTTCCTGAGACTTCATTCCAGGTAGCCCTGTGGTGTGTTATTTTAACCAAATGGCTGAAGGTCAAATACAAAGGGTCTGGAGAGGAATAACAATTGCTTGTCAGTTACTAGTTACTCTGATAATGCCAGGTTTAACAGTAAATGTTGATTAACATGTGTTTTCTCTTTGTTTTTCGACTCACAGCCAGTCAGACTGGTAGATGCCCAGGAGTGCCTGTGGCTTCAGGCCAAAGAAAGGTAGAGATTGTGGCTCTGAAGTTGGATATCTGGAAGATTGTAAGGATCAGTTTGCATTGGTGGGAAATTTGTGACTTGGTGTGTCGTCATTTTGTTCTGGACTGGGGGCAAGGATAGGGGAAGAAGCAGGTCAGTGATTCAGCAGGGAAAGAGAGAGAATTCTCCATTTGGAATCATCACTTTCCTTCGTTTAGGCACGTAGTCTCTAATTCATGTAATGACTGAACTGCTGTTGTTACACAAGTCAGACAACTTGTAGTGTGTGGGTTAGGGTTGAGTTTAAAATGTAAAGAGTTTTTAATTCCTGCTTGACCCAAACTTATCTGTGTTTTCTGCTCTTCCATCCTCCAATATCAGCAACTGATCGCATTGATTCATTTGAAAGTGGCTATGGAAGAGAAGGGTCAAAGAAAGAAGCCTACGTCGTGTCTTTGAATTTGTTTTGTTTAAAATTCATGCATTTGGTGTTAATTTATTGACAAAGATTATGACATAATATGTGACTTGGTGGTTGTTCACTGGTATCCCAGTTGTCGTCATACGGGATGAGTTTGTTGCGTGTCAGGTGGTCATATTGGTTTGGGAATCATCTGCTTTAGATATACTCAGCCTGACATTTGCCAACATCTTGTGGCGTCCATCTTAGGATATTCGCATCATATTCTTTGAAATTATTTGTCCTCTGATTTGAGGATAGTTGACATATGTTCTGAACCCATGTTATGCAACAATTACCTCATTAATACTCAAATTGGAACTGCATGATTTAAACTGTATTCAACTGTACATTATCTGCTGTACTTTTGAACTGTGCCTGAGGAGGATTCGTGTTGGATTGTGGTCTCATGGGTATAGCCAATCCTTTGATACTTGGCAAAATGAATTGTTTGTGTTCCTTGCTCTTGGAAATGTCTGTTTCCATGAAAGCTTATTCACATACGATTTTGCTACTCCAGTTTTGTCCTTCCTCTTTTACTTTTAAAATATGAAGCTATTTGAACACTGAGGCCTTTGTAAGTGATTGCTTTGAAGCAGATGAGGATCTTTGGAATAGCTGGGGTTTCTGGGTTTTCCTGAAGCCTCACGTTCCATTCTTTCAAAAAGCGTTGTAATTTGAGTAAATTTTCACATGCAACATCTTTGTATTCAATGCAGAGCTCTCTGTTTAACCCGTGTGAGGAAAATATTGCTCCCAGAGGCTGAGCTCAATAGCAGGGAGCCAGCCTCCCTGAAGCTTTTATATTTCCATACCGTAAGTGGCCCTAGCAAGTCAAGGAAAAGGTCAAGAATTGTTACCGGATCTGTTAGTGCAAATTTCAATGTGCTCAGTCTCTTTATGTCAGACTCTTGGTTGCACTGACTACATTTTTGTGAATTTAAAGCAGTTATACAGCTAAACTTGGGTTTTAATAGGTGTGAGGTATCTCTGTGGAGAACTTGGAAGTAGGCTTGAAAACTAACGTGCCACATCAGTTTTTTTTTAAACGAAAAATGTTGTGATGCTTTGGGCTCAGACATTATTCAATGGACTTCATGTACCTTGTAGCAAAAATTATGGGCTGGCAACGTTCCTTTGGCTCTGAGAATTTATTGGAATAATGGGTGAAAACCAATTTCAAGTGGAAACAAATTTGCCATCCAGTTGGTAATTTAACACAGAAGAATGGGTGTGATTAAATCAGAAATATTACAAGAGTGTATTTACAGAGAGTTGGGTTAAGGTGATTTTGTAGGGCAGCGCAAACTTGTGTTCACCTCTGGCTAGGCCAAAGTTGTGTGCTATTTGTAGATTCTGCATTTGGAAAATGGCAGTGTTCTGGACTTCAAGGGGTGTTAGCAGCTTGTGGACCATAGCAGTTCAGTTCTCTTGCCCTCAATTTCCCTCTACTTTGAAGTTCCTGTGGAGCCTGCCTGTCCTGAGCTGCACTGTTATTTTCATCGTGTGAGTTGACAGGTGTCGGTCATCACCAAACCCTGGACATAAGTGAGTGTTCTGCAAGAGGCAAAGTTTAGATTTAATCTGTGTACAAGCATGCAGATATTTATTTGATGTGATGTATGAGTTTGTGTGATGGTTTGTGCTGCATCTCATTGCAAGTTCAGCCTTCAATAACGCCACCACATTGCTGATGTGGAATTCCCTCTTGTTGTTATTTGTCTTTCTTGTGCATCAACTATGAACAACCAGAGCAACATCAATCAACCTAACCATTTCCCATGTTCATTGCAAGGCTATTACTGATGATGCTGATTACTATTGAGGTAGTCAAAATATCTAGCTGATAAACTTGAGGACTGCTGGGAATGTGAATGTCTTTGAGACAAGGTGCGTTGTTCCTTGGTTTGCATACTACCTGAAGAATGGTACCTGGTTTTGTGAACGCACTATGTCTCTGTTTTTGGGACTTATTCATATTTTTGAAATGTCTTGTCTGTGCATTTTTCAGATCTGATGAGTTCTTCTTAAACTTTGTTTACTTCTTTGTAGACTCACTGCTTGCAAGACCTAAGACAGAACACAGCATTGACATCTAAAGTCTTCATTCAGAGAGACTACTCCAGTGGGACTGTGTGCCAGTTTCAGACTAAATTCCCGTCAGAGTTGGAGAACAGGGTAAGCTGGAAGCAGAACATTGTTTGAAGATACATTTGATGTTTCAGAATAGGTGCAGGCCACAGTAAATTCTGCAGTGGTTAATGTATCAACCCCACAGCTTTTATTGTCGTATTTTTTTCTTCACTGCTCTCTGTGGTGTCTCTTTCTTTGATTCTATTGAGTTATGTCTTGTACTTCCTTTCATTCCCGCCATTTCGGGAAACTGATCCCTCTGTGGGTATGGTCGTCCTTAGCATACCTTGCTTTCTGTTAGTAGTAAAACCAAATGGCATTTGGTGCTGTTTCCTTTTGCCAGTTCCTAAACATGGTAGTTATGCCACAAAGTACAGCTGAGACAGTTCCAGGCTCAGACATGCTTGTTGTTTCAGTTCGCACAGGCTACAGAGGTGGGTGTGGGCACAATAGGTTCAAGATGGCTATCAACTCTCAGCAACAGTCTCGCTGCAGCAAACTGAATGATTTGGTGGATAGTGGGGGGAAGTTGGAGTAAATAGTAGCACAAATTGTTATTGAAATTTAGCTGGGAGGGCAGCATGGAAAACTGCTTTCACATTTGATGTTTTTGGTTCAAGGTCAATGGTGCCCTGGTTCCTTGCGTTTACAAGGCTAAAATTGACTCTTGTACCGTGAATTATAAGGTGTGACACTGGGATGGTGAAATTAGTTTTAATAGTATTGACAGAGTGAACTGGCATATTAATATTAATATCAATCTCGCACAATCTGAACACTGAACAGTTCTGTCTACATGTGCGTCTTCTGTGAGCTATTGGTGCTTTCTGTGGCTGCCTCACTTGCTTCCCTGGTCACAGATGTGAAACTGGCTGTGATTCTCCAATGTGACCTTTCGCCCAAACACTAGTGATCAAGATCATGTACTGCTGTGAGAGATGTTACCCTTCCCCCTCAAAGTTTCCTGTATCGGACAAACAATCCATGGGTGTACTTGGGTGATTTGATGACTGGTTTTGATTTTTGTGATTATTTTGTATGTGAAGGCTTTAGCAATAAGGGTTTTGGTTCTCGGTTTACTTGGGAGGTAAAATCCTGTGAACTTCGCTGCATCAGTTTCCTGCCTGTTTGAGGGCAGAGCTTGAATAAAAGTTGCCTTTATCACATTGCATGTGAACACTGTCCTCTCCACAGATTGATCGGCAGCAGTTTGAAGAAACTATCAGGGTATTAAACAACCTTTACGCAGAGGCTGAGAAGGTTGGGGGACAGTCTTACGTGGAGGGCTGTTTAGCATGCTTGACTGCGTACACCATCTTCTTATGCATGGAGACCCATTACGAGAAGGTGAGTAGATTTTCAGCACAGCTCCACAAATAGGCTGCTTCCAGTCAACTATAGTACTTGGTTACTTCTGTGATTTAAATGGCAATAGTGTAGTTGTAACCTGGACCCTTTCTGCATCTCAACATCCAATGATGGTTGTAAGTCATATTAGAAATATCAATGATCCTTAAAATTTGGATGCAATGAGGAATGGTGGAGATGGAGGGAAATAATTTCCAAGACTGGAATTCAATCATGGTTGATCCGGTTGTAAGACTTGATTTGATTTATTGCTGTCGCATGTATTGAAATCCAGTGAAAAGTATTGTTTTGTGAGCTAACGAGACAAATCAGACTCGACATAAGTATGCCATGGTAATAGAACAGAATGCAGAATAAGATAACAAGGTATAGAGCTGGATGAACACAGCAGGCCAGGCAGCATCAGAGGAACAGGAAAGCTGACGTTTTGGGTCTGGACCCTTCTTTAGAAATGGGGGAGGGGAAGGGTGCTCTGAAATAAATAGAGAGAGGGGGAGGCGATGAGGAGCAGATAGGTGGAGAGAAGACGGACAGGTCAAGGAGGCGGGGATGAAGCCAGTAAAGGTGAGTGTAAGTAGGGAGTTGGGATGGGGGTTGGTCAGTGAGGATGGAGGGTTGGGTAGGTGGGAGGGAAGATGGACAGGTCAAGGACGCAGGGGATGAGGCGAGTAGGTAGGAAATGGGGGTGGGGGTTGGTAAGTGAGATGTGAGGAGTGGATAGGTGGGAGAAAAAATGGACAGGTCGAGGAGGCGGGGACGAGATGGGCTGGTCTTGGGATGAGGTCGGGGGTGGGGTGATTTTGAAGCTTGTGAAGTCCACATTGAGACCATTGGCCTGCAGAATAAAGTGTTACAGCTGCAGATGAGGTGCGGAGAAAGATGAATGCAAAAATATGAGGTGTGTTCATAAGTCTGATAACTGCAGGGAAGACGGTGTTATTAAATCTGTTGGTGCATGTTTTCAAACTTGTTTATGTTCTGCCCTGTGGAAGAGAGTTTAACCGGGGTGGGAGGAGACTTTGATTATGCTGGCGTTTTACTGAGGCGGTGGGAAGTGTAGGCTTGGTCAGTGGAGGGAAGGTTAGTTTGCATCATGGACTGGGCAATGAACATAACTTTATGTAATTTCTTGCAATCTTGGGCCGAGCAGTTGCCATACTATGCCGCAATACATCCAGACACGATGTTTTCCAAGGTGTATCCGTAAAAATTGATAAGAGTCATGGTGAACATGCTGAATTTCCTGAGCCTTCTGAGGAAGTAGAGGTGTTGGTGTGCTTTCGTGACTGCAGCATCAAACTGGATGGGCCAGCATAGATCTTGTGGTGATATTTACTCCTAGAAACTTGAAGCTCTCGACCACCTGCACCTCAGTACCATTGATACAGACAGGAGCGTGTCCTCCAGTCCACTTGCTGAAGTTGATGACCAGCTCCTTTGTTTTCTTAACGTTGATGGAGAGATTGGTGTCTTGTCAACATGCTATAGAGTTATCTATCTCTTTCCTGTACTCTGTCTCGTCATTGTTTGAGATATAATTGTGTGTGTTCTTGATAACGTCATGGATTAAGAATTTTTAATTTGTTTGGTATATTCAGAGAAATATTCTAATTCTGTGTTTAAAATTATTTAGGTTACATGATGCATCAATCAAGTCCACTTGCCATATGATATTGTGCATGTTGTATGGTCAGATGATAACTAATATATCATGCCTGGAATGCAGAGCTACAAGTTTTTTTCATTGAATAAGCAATTTATCACAGCAGAGTCACTGTCAGAAATTTGCCCTATCAGATCTGCTTTTTTCAAAACCTGGTGTTTACCTCACAGGTTGTTGTATAATGTTGCCACATCAAAATTAAATGGGGTAACTGAAAACTTGGTCACCTCCTTCTTGTGCTTATCGAAATAAGTGATAAGACATAAATTCAACGTACGCGTATCTGCATTTATGAAGAGGGAACAAGAATAGCAAATTATATTTGGTTGCAGACCAAAAACCTCGGCCAGTTGGACTGCTGCACATTCTGCTTAATCTGCTGCATGTTTTGTCTCCTTGCAGTGTAGTTCTGGTGTTTGTGTTCTCTGCCACCTGTTGTTCACAGACCATCCTGGTAGCCTTCCAGTACAGTGTACTGTTAGTTATGTTCACTTCACCTTGTCTGGGTCAGTGGTATTAAAACATAGATGGGCAACAAGTTCCTGAACTTGTGGACCCACTTTGTTGCATCAGCTTGTTGAGAGGCCTGTGACTGTGCACCTGGCCTTGAACAAAGCCATTGTATGCAGTTTTCAAATGCATTGAATGGTTGAAATATTCTATTTTTATCTGTGAAACTGGTTCACGTTCCAGTGCTCGGAAAATCACTTTGTCACTTAGTTGATAAAATGTGGAGCTGGAGGAGCAGAGCAGATCAGACAACATCTGAGGAGCAGGAAAGTCGACGTTTTCGGGTCTGGACCCTTTATCAGGATTGGGGAGGGTGAAGGGAACTCAGAACTAAATAGATGGTGGGGTGGGACTGGGGGAAGGTAGGTGGGATGGTGATAGGTGGATGCAGGTTGGCATTCTGGAGAGAGGTCAGTGGGGAGGCTGGAACGTATCTGTGAGAAGGAAGATGGACAGGTTGTATCAGGTCAAGGATTCGGGAATGACAGGGAGGGCTAAATATAGGATGAAGCTGGGGGTGGGGAGATTTTGAAGCTGGTGAACACTGTTGAGGCCATTGGGCTGCAAGTTCCTCGGGCAGAATATAAGGTGTTCCTCCAGTTTACGAGTGGCCTCATTTTGACAGTGGAGGAGGCCCAGGATGGAGATGTCGCTAGGGGAATGGGAGGAGGTGTTGAAATGGCTGGCAACCAGAAGGTGATGTTTAGAGCATACAGAGCGCACAAGATCAGTGAATCGGTCACCGAGTCTGTGCTTGGTCTCCCCGATATAGAGGAGACCACATTGGGAGTGACGGATGCAGTAGACCAGCTTAGAAAATGTACAGGTGAATGCTTGCCAGATTTGCAATGATTGCTGGCGCCTTGGACAGAGGTGAGAGGGGAGGTGTAAGGGCAGGTGTAGCGCTTCTGCGGTTGCAGGGAAAGATGCTGGGTGTGGTAGAAATGTTGTCTAGTGTGGAGCTGACAAGGGAGTTGCAGAACGAGCAGTCCCAATGGAAAACAGATGGGATTGGGGAAGGAAATATCTCTTTTCGTGGTGGAATCTGATTGCACGTGGTGAAAATGGCAGAGGATGATTCATTGGATTTGGAGGTTGGTGTGTGATCTGTGAGGACCAGGGGGACTCTTCTCATTGGGGGGGAGGGGGTTCGAGGGTAGAAGTGAGGGAAATGTGGGAGATGTGGTTGAGGGCATTATGAATCACGGGAGAGGGGAAATGACGGTCCGTGAAGTAAGAGGATATCTGGTATGTCCGGGAGTGGAACGCTTCATCCCGGAGGCAGAGGCAGAGGCATTACGACTGTGGGATTGTACTTTTGCGAGAGGGTGGGTGAGAAGAAGTCTAGTCAAATTAGCTATTGGAGTCAGTGGGTTTGAAATGGATGTCGGTGCTAAGTCCGTTGCCAGAGTTGGAGATGGAGAGGTCCAGGAAGAGCGGGGAGTTGTCAGAGATGGTCCAGGTGAATTTGAGGTTGGGGTGGAAGGTGTTGGTGAAGTGGATGAACTGTTTGAGCTCCTTGTGGGAGCACGAGGCTGCATCGATACAGTCATCAATGTAGCGGAGGAAGAGGTGGGAGATGGTGCCAGTGTAGCTGCAGAAGATGGACTGTTCCACGTAGCCTACAAAGAGGCAGGCATAACTCGGACCCACAAGGGTACCCATAGGCACCCCTTTGGTTTGTACGAAGTGGAAGGAGTCAAAGGAAAAATTGTTGATCGTGAGGACTAGTTCTGCCAAGCCAATGAGAGTGTTGGTGGAGGGGAATGGGCTGGGCCTGCGGGAAAGGAAGAAATGGAGGTTTTAGGCCCTCCTGGGCTTACAGGACTGAAGGCTTCTGGTGAAGATGAGGTGTTGGAAGCCAGGCAATTTAACGTCTTGGAGAAGGTGGAGGGTGTGTCCAGAACATAGGTGGCAAGTCCTGGACCAGAGGGGAAAGAATGGAGGCGAGGTAGGTGGAGATGAGTTCAGTGGGGCAGGAGCAGACAGACAGTGGGTTGACCAGGGCAGTCAGGTTTATGGTTTTTGGGTAAGAGAGTTCCCCAACCCCACACTACCTGTTTCTATCAAGTTGGAGACTGAGATTGGGAGATCTCTTAAGGTGATAAGGTTATTGATGGTCTGGGAGATGATGGTTTGATGATCGGGGTGGGGGTCATCATCAAGGGGATGGTAGGAGGTGGTGTTGGAGAGTTGGCATCTGGCCTCCGCGAAGTAGAGGTCAGTACGCCATGCTACCACTATGCCTCCCTTGTGAGTGGGTTTTATAGTGAGGTTGAGGTTGAATCGGAGGGCTGTGCATTGTGATGTGGAAAGGTTGGAGCAGCAGGGAGGGCTGTAGAGATTAAGACAATTGATGTCACAACAGCTGTTGGAGATGAAGAGGTTGAGGGAGTGTAGGAGGCCGGGGAGGGGAGGGGAGGTGGCCTCCAGGAGGAGGGGGTTTGATGGAGGCTGGAGAAAGGGTTGGCAGAGGTTGTGCTGGATCCCTGCTGGAAGAAATAGGTGCGGGGGTAGCTGAACAAGAGTTCGATATCTAGACGTGCAGAATTTGTTGATGTGTGGGTGTAGGGGAATGAAGCCGAGTCCTCTGCAAAGGACTGACTGTCTTCTGTGGGGTTGGGATGGTGAATATCCGGCCAGGCTTGGCACTGGGGCTTAGTGTTAAGCTCGGAGGAGGGGTGGAGACTGCCTTTGGTGGGGCGGGTGTGTGTGTGTGTATGTATGGGAGCGGTCGGCAGAAGTGACTGGGGCAATCTTGTGGTTAATGGCGCCGGGTGGATTCAGGAGAAGGTCAGGGATAGGGTTGGGTTCTAAGGTGGCTGAGAAAAGTCTGTTTGGAGGTAAATACCAGAGAGTTAGGCGTACTTAAGATTTTTCATGTCTGATAGGCTCGAGGAAAAAGCATTTGTTGAGGCTGTGGATCCTTTGAAGAATAAAGAACAGTCAAGGTCCTTTGCAGGACTGCGAGAGACAGGCTCTGAGCTGAGGCAGGGCTGACTGTAGCGAGAGAAGATGTCGTAGCATGGCTGTGTGTGGAGCTGAGGATCTGCAGGGAGAACCATTTCTGGAGACGCTGTAGATAATGGTTGGTGTGGTTTGGCCCAAATTGGTCTGAACGTTGTTTGGAGTGCACGGGGGATAAGTCAGCTGCGTAGACAGGTACTGAGGAAGGAGATATAGCTATAATAGCGGGTTTGTATCAGGATGTGATTATTTCTGCGTTCTCTTCCCTCTCCCCATTTCTGATGATTTTTTCTGCTCCTCAGATGCTATCTGATCTACTGGGCTCTTCCAGCTCCACATTTTGTCGACTCTTGACTTCCAGCATCTGCATTCCTCTCTATCTCCTTGTCACTTGGTTTACTGGTTATCGTGCAAGTTTTGGACGATGACCAAACAACATTTTTAATTTACAGAAAATGTAACGTGAGTCACTTGAAACATTTTTGACACACATCATTTTTATAATGGGAAATCTATGGTGTTTTTCTTACGTTTCTGGCTCATTTGTGGAAAATAAGTTTTCCATTGTTACTAGAAAATTATTGGAAACACTGCAGACGTTAACTGATGATACTCGTCTTTTTTTTTATGATGTGAAATGATATGCAGGACCTTAATAGGAGTATGCAGGTTCCCTTTATTGGCAGGTGAGTATGCATGGGCACGTAACCTTCCCAGCGAGAATATCGAAAAATGATCTGATTTTTATAGTTCTGCGATGGCTCAGTGGTTAGCATTGCTGCTTCACAGTGCCAGGGACCCAGGTTCGATTCCACCCTTCGGCGACTGCCGATGTGGAGTTTGCACATTCTTCTCCCTGTCTCTGTGGGTTTCTTTCGGGTACTCTGGTTTCCTCCCACAGCCCAAAGATGTGTAGGTTCAGTGATTGGTCATGCTAAATTGTCCATTGTGTCCATGGATGTGCAAGCTAGGTGGATTAGCCATGAGAAATGCAGGGTTACAGGGAGAGGGTATTGGGGGTGGGTCTAGGTGAGATGCTCTTCGGAACGTCAGTGTGGACACGATGGGCCAAATGGCCAGCTTCCACATTGTAGGGATTCTAGGATTCTTTGACTTGCCTTGGGTATAGAGATTGGGAAGTTCAAATAAATTGGCACTGTTGCATTACTTTATTGCCTTCATTTCATTCGCTGCCCATCGATGAAGAGATAATTTACTGTTTGCAGATGCACACTTAGTCCGTTGGCCCCTTTCTGTATCCTTCATGCCCAAAACAAATGGGTTGAGTTAGTTGGTTTGTGTAGTCCTTGTACTTTGTGTTTGAAGATTGAGCTGGACCACAAAAAGTGTTTTTGAGCAAATGACTGGGCAGAGAACGTGCGACAGCATTTATATTAAGCATTTTTGTTCTCCTTCACACCACTTAAATTTTTTACATTTTCCTTTGCCTGATGCAGTTCTATGCTGGAGAGGATGAGCTGGTAACCAGATCTCAGTTTCTTACTTGTCCAAATCCTGAACAATTTGAGAGAGCATCACTTCTTATCATTTTTGTTCTTTCATTCCCAACAAATTTGACATTGTCTTTTGAAGGGAATTTGGGATGTGCAACAGGTGCTTGCTTTCCAGCAAGATCGACATTCTGTGAAGGAATTAATAAAAATGTGTGCTGTTGCAAAATTGTACATCAGTAGTGTTGTGTAACCATTTTTGTTTTGGTAGTTCATGATGCATACAGAGACCTGTGTCCAGAATTGACTTATTCAAGTAGGCCCTGTAATATGTTCATGGCACTTTGTGATTTGACTGCAGGTGTTGAAAAAGATTGCCAAATACATCCAGGAACAGAATGAGAAGACGTATGCACCACGAGGCCTCGTCATAGTCGATCCAATTGAAAGAGGATTGAGAGTTGTATCCTTTTTGGTTTCTCTGGTTTTTGCATCTTCTGTTCTTTAATCCATCTGCTGAGCTGCTTTTCATATTGTTCATTTTCCTCACGTAGCCATAATATTGTGACAGAACCACCTCCAGCATGTGCTGAATTCAAAAATGTTGCACCTCCTGTTGTAATTTTAACTTCAATTTGAGCAATCTACTCCCTCTTGTACATGTTATGGAAAAAGCTGAACATTTTCTTTTGAAAACAATCTCTAATACAGAAAATATTTTGTTATTTTGGCAGTTGAATGCCATGTTATTTGCTTCAAATTTTATTTTGTCCCAGTTGAACTCCTGTGCATTAGCTATTGTTTTCCATAGAGGGCAGATGAATGACCTCCTTGATGCACCTCGCCGTCTTGAATTGAGCAGTCTGCCCAGGTTAAATAGTCTTTGGTCCTTCTTCATCTAATGATCAGAATTTAGATGAGAAAAAATATGTTCAATCAGAGTGATGTGAATCTTTGAAAATATATTGCAGTATATTCAAGATAGGGATTGTCCCAAATAGATAATTAGTTATCGAATCATAGAGAAGGTTTGATAGACCATTGCTCGCTCTTGTGGTCATGAAGGCGCTTTGTTCTTGTCTTGGATTAACTTTCTTTTTCTTTTCTGGGATGTGGGCATTGCTTTCAGGGCCTTGGTTGTTGCCCATCCCAAATTGTCCTTGAACTGAGTGGTTTGCTTGGCCATTTCCTTGTTGTGGCCTAGCGTTACATGCTAAGAAGCTTTCCTTCCCTGAAGAATGTGTGTGTAAAGCAAGTGGAGTTTGACTACATTTCAGTGGTCACCCTCACTGAGACAAGTTTTCATTTCCAAATTTTATCATGGGATTTAAATTCCACCATCACCAATAGTGGGGTTTGAGCCCATATCTCAAAGAATGAACCCGGGCCCCTGCGTTACTAGTTCAGACGTTGTCACTAAATTGCCACATCTCGCGTTGTAGTACTGCAATTTGAAGGTTTTGGAGAGTTTAAAGAAAATGTTTTTGTATCTTGTTTTTTTTTGGTGTCAATAAGCTCAGCCAACAGGAAACTCTTTCATTTGTACCTTTTTGAGTGGCCTCCATGCCAGGATATAAAGTATCACTCTGAAAAGAGTCTGCTTCATCCTGTATTTGTGAAGTTCATTGAAGTGATGAAGCACGTCTGTAAAAACTTGGCACGTATCAAAGGAATTGTATGCGAAAATATCTGGCTACTCCATTTTTAAACAGTGAAGTCTTGTGGAACATTAATTGGGGAATCTAAGTCAATTACTTTGTTGGCAACTTGTAAATGATAAATTATCAAATTCCTTTCAATGTGCCTGAACACAATGACCCATTTAAAAGTTACAGCTCAGTCAGAGACCACCTGCTGTTATGGCAAGCAATCTTGGTGTGATAAGTGGTCAAAAAATTCTCTGAGCATTCATCTGGTTTGGTCACCTGAAGTGTGAAATTCCTTCAGGTAAATTTAGTGGAAAAACAATCCACCTTGGTTATAAAATGGGAAATAGTTGTGCTAAATGTATGTGTACTCAGGGTAATGACAAGTGAAATTTACACTGTGGTCTTCTGCAAGCACTGGTTCCCCATCTGGGAGTTTCATGGTGCCCTGCTTTGATTAAGCAAGAAGTGAGGCATAGCAGTCTGTAGTTGCTCCTCTGAACTAATTCCTCTGAAGGCTTCTGAGTCAGTTGTTAGGCATAGTCATGTCATTAAGTGCCACAGGAGATCTCGTGGGTTGTCTGTATTCCACGATCTGCAGTGTCATTGGGTGATTCCTGATTAAAATGTAAGTTTTGTGGTGAGCTCCCCCCACCACATACACACACACACACACCCCCCCCCCTGATTTTACCAAGTATTGTTTCTTGGATGCAGTTGTCCATCCTGTTGATGAATGTTAATTCAGAGTGGCACTTCAGGTCTTTCATGGATGCGGGTGTATTCTTGCATCCCTGGCTGTCTGGGACTCAGCCTGAGTAAAAATGATCATGTAGTTCAGTGACAGGGCTCACTGCTGTAGCTGTCAGTTGAAATGTTCTGCAAGAAGTTGAGAGCCCTCCACAATTCAGGAATAGTTTATTTGTACTTGCAAGAAACCATGTTTTAAAATTCTGGCAGGAAATCTTACAACTTCAAAGAAAGCAGAAGAGCAGCTATAAAATTCAGTTGTCCGTTTTGGTGCCGACCGATCTTAATGGAAGGAATCAGTCATTTCCTTGGAGCTTGTGTCATCTATGTCACTTTATCATAAAGTAAAAAGAAGCACAAAAGATGAGCATTTTTATGCTGATGTATGTGCTTCATCTTTAGTTTGTAGACGATTTCCTTTTCGATGTGTGAACACACGGTCTTTGTGCTACACAAAAGGAAGACATAGGGTTTGAGGGCTTGGGACTATCTATTTTCTCTTATACCCCCACAATGTTTGAAGGAAGGGTTCCTCAGGCACAAGCAGTGTGACTTGATTTGGCCTCTATCTGTAGGATAGCATTGTTTTTAAAATTATACCCCTGCTTCATAAACATTCCCAAGGTAACTTTAAAACCAGTGAATGTAACAGAAAATTAACCTGCATTTTTCAAGTTCCTTTATTAGAAGGTATTCATGCATAGCAATGAAACTGCTTGGAGTTCTTGGTAGGTTCGCCAAGCTGACTGGTTTTCGTGCAAACATTTCATCTTCCTTCTAGGTGACGTCTTCAGTGCTGTTGAGCCTCTGAAACACTATTGTCCTGTACCACTTTGAATTCATATGATCTGGTCTGTCCTGGCTTGTTTCCAGTTTTGTACTGGAGTGTTAGGAAGGTGGGGTTTATCTGAACGTATGTTTACCATACCGGTGGTTGAAAGCCAGGCCTCCAGGAATTCTGTTGCTTGTTTTTGTTTTGCTTGTCCTCGTACTGTAACTTTGTCCCAATTAAACTGCTGTCCTTCTGTGTCGAAGTGTATTGAAATGAGGGAGAATTGGTCAAGCCGTTTTGCTGCGAGCTGGTGTTCATGTATCCTGGTAGCGAGTTTCCTGCGTGTCTATCGTACAGATCTTCGTTAAAACATTAAGTGAAACTACTTATGAACTTACTTTCCTTCGCTACAGACAGACACTTTATTTTGATTTGGAGTAAAGGTATGGATGTGAACAGAAATTAGGACAGGAGACTAAAGGAATGGTTGAAGCGAGGTTTTCGAGTGAGGACGCAGTGAAGGAGGGATATGTCCTTAAGTGTCTGGTCAAGATGGCCAATGGTTTTACTTTTTGTTTTCTAAGTTGCAGAATCATTTGCGTGGTTGTAGGTAAGAACTTCCCTGTCACTGGCTTACACACAATAACAGTCTTTTGGGGATGATGACTGAAGCTCTGGACTTCTCTGCAGCTGCCAGCAGATCTCCTGGATATTTGCAAAGTAGCCATTTTTATCTCATGTGTTTCAACGTGCTTTTGAAGTGTGGAGGATAGTGCTGTTCAGTCTGATTCTGCCTTCACAATGTCCACGTGCATTCACTTCGTCTGCTGCAGTGAAGCCTCTGTTGCGATCAACCCAGTGGATCTTTGCTAATCTCTCTAGTTCAGGAAAGTTGGATTTGTGCAATGCGCTTATCCTCTGAGGTTCCAGATTAATTGTTTTTAATAAATCACAGATTTTTGTAAGTGATTTTAAATATTGTTCGATGAAATTGACTTGTTGTATTTAGAATGGTAATTTACCTCTTGAGCCCCTGCTGGTCTTGTTGAGATTTACCGATTACTTAGGGCAATGTGCCTAATACTACAGGGATTTTAATTTCAATTTCCTTGGACTTGCATTAGACACGGTTAAAAAAGTGACTGAAGCAGTTGGATCGTCTTGTGGTTTAGATTCGAATGTTTGCCTTATGCTGTCGGAATATGAAAATGCGTTGTATGTGCATGTGTATGTCACACAGATGTTAGCACAGTCTGATGCTTGGGACACAGTCAACGCATTGTATTTATTTAATATTTAACTAAAATACCACAGCAATTTCACGGTCTCTGCCCTTTCACGTAGTGTGTTTTGAGTTGTGGGCGTGTACAGCACAATGGTTACAGGAGGAATGAGAAACCAGCTGAAATGCTGAGCTATTTGCAAGAAGACCTCTGAGGGTAATGGACTGATGTAATTGATCGTGGCATTTTATTGATGTAGATGCATTTCATAAAAATGGGAGAGATCTGTACCTCAGGCATTCAGGTCCCAACTTTGCTTGACTTGTGATCAGCTGTCAAAGGAAGTAGAAAAAAATCCCTCCTTTCAGATTAAAATCCCCCATTTCAGATTGTATCTGCCGTCCCCGATGCTTCATTCAAGTCGCTTTTCTGTTTGGATCAATGGGGAATTCTGTCATGGAAAATTTGACTCCTCACCTAACCTTCCCAAGTGGTCATTGTCATTGTTAGGGCCCTTGGATGTTTTTTGTGTTCTTGCTGAGAAAGTATTGAAACTACTGCCTAATCAGACATGAATTCAATTGTCATCGATGAAACACTGAATTGCTGATTTCCGTCATTAAGACGTGATTGGTGCACATAACCTCCAGGAACAGAGAGTACGGTGGGGCGGTTCAAATCCAAAATGCTTATTCATGTTTTAGGGAGGTAGCAAGCAATTAGACAGCCTTCTTTGAGGCTTGTGGTTAGGACAAGTCAATAAGCTAGAATTACGTTCTGATCCGGGATTAGCACGTGCTGATAAAATGACGAAGGTTTATCCACATCTTTATCAATAAACTGGCACGTGTTTACATATTTACACACATGCCTCTAAATGAAATGGTTACACCACGTCAGAGATGCTTTGATTTGCATGTTTTGTACTTGACTCTGATTCTGACAGATTGAGATCTCCATTTATGAAGACAGAAATTTCAGCAGTGCAAGATGAAGTGCAGAGAAGCTAAGGTGTGAACTTGCTCGAGTGTGGTCACAACTCTGTCTGAAGCAGCAACACAAAGTGCGCTAATTTCTTAGTAAAGATCCCTGAAGTTCCATGACCATGGAACGTTGCCAACATCAATCTGTCATTCCATGATCAAGTACGGAGTGTCTCTCCCACGGCATTCTTGGCATTGATTCTGAAAAGACACTTGATATATACAGAAACTACACAAAGCAAAATCAGTTTGGTTTCACCTGTTGTCAAGTTCCATTCATCTTGATTGTTTAAAATTGTTCTGGCTGGTAATTAGGAGGGAAGACAAAGAGGTGTCTTCAGTGTACAACAGCGCAAAGAAAAATTAATGTATTTAAAAAGTGCCTTGTGAGATGATATGTCACAAATTGTCCGTCTACAGTTAAATTTAAATGTACAGAAATGGGGCGCCAACATTTTTGAATTGATCGACACCATTCGAGGTTTCAGTATTTACTTGAAGACGTGGACATAGAATATGTATCCTGTTCTGAAACCTGCATGACCAGAAACTTGGATGTGTACACCAAACCAGTTTTGTGTTTGATAGAGTGATAGTTATCTCTGTTGGAGAAGCAGTATTTGCCTACTGTCTATCAACTTCAGTTATGGGCAAGAAAACACATGGCTATCGTTGTTCTTCATGTTTGCTTGTGTTTGTGCTTCCTTCTCCCCAATGTCCAATCTTAGCCCCAGAGTCAGAAGGGCACGCCCTGCTGCTGGCAGTGTCACATTTGTTTCCTGCTCATGTCCTTCTTGTGACCCCTGAATGACACAATTGGGATGTTTGTGTTTTGATGCTGTCAAGTCAGTCACGGATCACATTTGGGATTCTCAAAGACCAATGTGATTGCCTGAGATGCCAAGATTGTAGCCCATCACCTTGTGCTGGTGTGGTAATTACATCTTGGAATAGAAAGATTAATGGTAAACAAGATCAGAAGTTGCTGGAAAAGCTCAGTTCTAAGTAAAGGTCATCGGATCTGAAACGTTAAGTCTGATTTCACAGATGCTACCAGACCTGCTGAGCTTTTCTAGTAACTTCTGTTTTTGTTTCTAATTTACAGCATCTGCAGTTTTCTTGGTTTTTATTTTGAAGTTAGTTTTAAGACTGACTAAATCCTGCTACAGCTCCATTCACCAAGATGATTAGTTCACATGCCTAGAGATCTTTCTGCGTACCACTGCCAGGAGCACGACTTTGCCTTCTGTTTAGATTAAGGCTGGGATTGGGGGAACTGTGTGCAGCCTGAAGCTCGGAATCAGCATTGAATGTTTCTGCAGATCTTTTCCAGGAAAGGATTTGGGTGCATGGTGGTTAGATGAGGGATGGAGTGAAGAAATGTGGAGTACAGAAGTGTTTTATGAAAAAGACTTGTTGAGATGCATCAAATATGCTATTGTCCTGTTCTCCCGTGGGTAGACAAGGTGATTAGTACACCTGCAGAACATGAATTCCTTTGCATGCTGCTTTTGGATTTGTTTTCAGTTAAAGCTGGCTTTCCAATCTGTTTTCTTCTAATGTGGTGCAATGACTCAGTTTAACACCACTAATTCTGTCTAATCAGTTTTCATCTGCTCTCTGGGTTTTTCTTGTCACATTCAACCCACTCACTGTTCTATTGTTTGATTTGGAAATGTATTCACAGGGAGTTTACTCTGCTTCACTGAGTCCTGATATATCCTTCTGATAGTTTGGTTCAGCAGCGCAGTGAGATTTGCAAACATTATTAAGTAATTACATATGTACAGGGTATGAAAAGGTGGCTCCTTGTTTTCCAGAGCTTTGCTTTATGGATTTGTGCATTGCACTTTGAACAAATTGTGATTTGTAGCTGCGCTTCTCAGAAACTTTGACTTAGTTTCATGGGATAATTACACACGAGTAAGGCTTTCCTCTCCGCTTTGCAATTCCATTCAGGAATATGTATTGATACGTATGTTCTTGCATTGAATACACAACACAGAAGAGACCATTTAGCCAACAGTTTGTGCTGGTATTGATACTCTGTACAATTCTACCCCATCCAGAAGGATATTGCAGGTATTGATCATGTGTTTGGGGATTAAATCTGTTGAAAAAGAAAAGATGATTGGCAAGTTGTCTGACAATCACCGCTCGCACCATCAGTGTCCATGTTCTGACTGAATCACCAAAATGGCCAACTGCTTCAGTTTTTCTTGCACAGCCTTGAAAATGCAACTTTCACTATGCTTCTTTAGTGGACTCAATCTGCTTTTACATAGAAAACCACCCGCTTAAAAGAAATAGCAACACTGGTTAACGTGTAAGCTCTATCTTGAATTAGAAATGTTCTCCTTTTACTCCCAAACAGACACACTTACGCAACACAATCCAACAAACTGTGCAGACATGATCGTTTGCTTATAATAAATGATGAGATGAAACTTATAGCGCCCTGTTTCTTGCTGACAAAATCGAATTACTGACAGCGATAGACCGATGGGAGGATCTTTCGCTTGGATTAAAATCAAGCTGGATCCAAGATTTGGAAACTGGTCACAATTCAACTTTATTATGTTTCCAAATCTGAGAGAGGAAGATTTTCTGAGATTTGCTTTCTTGTGCTTGCCTAGTTTTCCGAAAACATGCAAATGAAGTCCAGAAATGATTGCTAAGCAGCATCAGCACAGAGCTCGCCATAATCTCTTCCAAAGACAGTTTGCAGGAATTTAAGTTCAGTTAAATCATCTGTCTTTTGAACAGATTTGCTTATCTTTTTCCAAACTAATTTGACTATATGTAATCAGCAGTTAGATCACAGCTCACATTAAATTATTGACTTCATTTCCAAGAAACAAGGTGATGTAAAAAATCCTGGTTTAATCCGGTGTCCAAACAGTTCAGTATCTTCTCCTTTTTTAATCTTGTCCATAAATATGTACTCCTAACATGGACCATAATTGTATTATGTTGTTTGGGCAAATTCTAATTAATGTCATGTTAATTTATTTACAGTGGGACCAAGGCTGTAAAGGATACAGACCATTTCTGCTGGGTGTCATTTCTGTACCGAACGCGTACCCTACCTCATCTCTGGACTATCATTCCACAAAATCTTGAGGACCTTGGTGCCACTTTAAACGTTGGATGTTTTGCAATCTGCTGTATCCTCAAATAATGTATGCTATGTGAGGGGTAGGTTGGTGTAAGCAAATAACTATTGTGATCAAATTAGTAGTTTCTTTCTGAAATGTTTTCTTCAAAAAAATCAAAACAATTTCTAAATTAACATCACTAGAAGACCACAGGAAAGAGTTGAAGGAAATGTTTGGAGGTGTGCAGTTGTGATATTCTCTGGTAGCTTAAGTTGATCGGTGTCTGAAGCCTTGGATATTTATCCAATGTGAATGGAAGATGCTTTTGTTTCTTGGTGTGTTGGGACAAGTGAATATGCCAGCGCAATATATTTAGCCCTAAGAGTACTGGAGATTTTTGATGCCTAAATCAAAACTCTCATTTGGTTTACCTGATTTTTAATTTCACCAAGCTGTGTCCAATTGGCTTGGCAGGCAAGGTCACTACCATGTATATCATGCTGTCAAATCTAGGAGGTCCCAGGGGAGCTGGAGAATCTCGGCTGAGGCTTTTTGAAGGGGCAGAAAACAGTATCCAACGTTAGTTGGTTCGGGTTCTGGGATCTCGGTCCCTGATGGACCTGGTTGTCGAAGTTTTGTATCGGATCAGGTTAAATTGGGACACGATTAAAGTCTTGGAACAATTAGCAGCTGAGCTCAGTGATCCTATAGTTTAGCGTGAGGTGACACCTGCTGAGAAGTGCACTGAACAGGTGGAAGAAGGTGCCTTATGCAATTGAGAAAAATGAAAATTTGGGTTACTTCAGGATATTTGTAGCAGTATATTGCTCAATTGAAGTAGAAACTGGTAAGGAGCATGCTTCACAACTGAAGACAGTAGAAGTGATCAAGAAGCATCTCAACTACGAATATAAAATGTTCAGCAATATCTTGTTGGTCACCAAACTCTGTATATGTTGGCACAGATCCCATTTGTGGTTTCTTTACTGACGCAAACAATTCAGATTTTTAAAATAAAACCTCCTGGGAGTGTTCTCAATATAAGATTCCATGTTGGCAAATGCTAGAGACACCACCACAAGTGGCTATTGCATTACAGGATTGAGTTAGCTGATAGGAGTATAGTGCAAGGAAAGGATGAGTTTACAGAGAAATAAATGCTTTGCTGAAGATTTTCAAACTTTGTGTGTGACTATGTAATGAAAGGTTGAAAGCTTTCTTGCAGAAACAGACACTTTGCCAACTTGAATTGTACATTTTCCTTTGCTGAGCAAGATACTTTACTCCTCTTGTCCGCTCATGTCACTGTTCACTATTTCACCACCTCTCCCACCACCATCTATCATGTGTATGGCCAAAACAATGAGGGATTCCAACAGCAATTTGCAAGATCATCACAAAATGGAGTTTTGAATACCAAGAGCAGTCACGGAAACACGCAGATGCATTTCAAAAAATTTAGGAAGGAGAAATCAGTACTCTTAGTGGTTAATAACTTATCAGTGCACTGTCATTATGTGTAGCTTTTGGCTACTTGGGCTTATTTCCCAGGGTCCCCTTGTGGCTTGGTAAAATTAGCTAATTTAAATGTTTGTGTACTTGTGTTTCTCTTGTAATATAATAATGTAGTTTGTGACAATTTCAACATCTTCTAAATCTGCTGAGTTTATAAACATTTGATATAATTGACGTTTTTTATAGTCATTGCTAAGGGTTTCGGAGAAGTAAAATGTGTGAAAATGCCGGTTGTACTTTGTCACAAACCAAACTGTTCAGCATTGTGCAGACTGTTCTGAGCAGTTTTGCTGCTTGTTAGTGCATCTAAAGAAAAATACAAAGCCTGACCTTGATCCCGTGCGAATAATTTGAACAGAATCCAAGACAATTTGCTGTCAATCATGTCTGACACTAAATCTGACCTTGTATGACCTCAGGAGCGCAAAGGGAAGAGGTTTGAGTTGTGCAGTGGAGTAGAACGAACAAAATGCTGACCTTTGCAGTTGCAAAAACGTGTGTTTCAATCCAGTTTAGACAGGCAGACTGGAGGTCTCTTCAGGGTGACTGTGAAGGGGAAGCTAGGTTGGTTAAGGGGGGGATGGTGTGGATCTTGTTCCCAGTGGACACATGTCCACACTACAAAAATGGCTGTAATTTGACTGGCACTAATTGGGCAATCTCGCTCTGAGAGGCCACAGGCAGGGTCAGCAGAAATCAACAGGAGATTTTTGTTTAAAAACCTGCAGGATTTTTGAATTTAACTCTCCATTGGTGTGTACTCTGTTTATTTTCAAAGATGTTATATAACTTATTAAAAGAACAAAGCAGCCAATACTCAGTGTTGATTTTTCTTCCCACAAAATAATGATGTCGATTCAGTTTTGACATTTTTTTACTTTGTCTGAGCTTTTGATAGGAATCATCAAATGTCTGGGAGGTTATGAATTGTTTGTCCCGACCCTAACAAATTTTTCCTCTGGAATTGGATTTGTCTGTTAATGGTATTAGATTTTGTTAGTTCATAAAACGGTTTAACTTTTTACACTACCAGTGTTGCCTGGTTGAGAGTTTTGATCTGTGACAAAGACTTATCTTACTGGTGGCCCAGAGGGGAGCAGCGGTGATGTGGGAAGTAGAAATCTCTGCATTGCTGTGAATTTGATGGGAATTGGTTTGTGGCTAGTGTGTCAGAATGTTTTCATTATCTCAGCCTGGGAACTTTTGCAAATATATCTGGAAGATCAACTTTGCTCTCCATAACTGAAATTCCTTGAGCTTTTACGCCTTCTTTATAACAAAAGAAAGTTCTCCTGAAAAATAGAGTACAAACATCATGGCCAAATTGATAGTTCATTTGCATTCAGCTTGTTTATCTTGAGACATCGATTTTTGAAAGAAGATATTCCATAGGAGTTGAAGGCTGTGTCTTTGGGCACTTGTTTTAGGTCTTTGGGAAAATTTCAGAAAGGCACAATTGAATAATGTGAAGCTGAGTTTTTGCGTTTCTGACATGCTTTGGTCTTATGAAAATTAACTGGCATAGGTGCCAGTGATAACAATAAATGCTGTGCAACAGGCGCCTTTACAAGTTATGCAGTTAATGTATCTGCATTTAAAATGTACTGCCCTGGAGTCAAGGCACTTCAATTAAAGAAAAGGCTAACTGCCTATCTTTTAGGGAATTCAATCAGCTTGCAACTCATTCCATAAGTGACAGCGACAAGCAACAGAAATATTAAATCCTGCATGCAGTTTTAATATATCTGACAGGTCTGAAACCACACTGACTTTGAAGAAGTCCAGAAATAGTTAACTTCACAACTATTTTTCTGACCTTGTGGTAGGTGAGGTATTGAAACACTTCTGACCTTAGACCTCTGGTCTGATTTGTGTCTTCCTATCTTTGAGGATATTAGCACTGCCTAGAATCTATTGGACTGCTCCTTGTGGGGGAAGAGGTAGTAAATTATTCTTAGTTTTGTTTTTAGAAGTCGACCTTTTTAAAGCTTGCTGTCTTGATCTGTTTGTGGAGCACACCTGAAACTTGTTTCCCAGGGAGGGGAGGCAACAGTTAGTTACAGAAATAGGCCACTGCCAACTTGTGCTTCAATTCAAGTGTGACCTTCACATATGTTAACATGGTAAGTTGACAATACTTAGATTTCAGTTACATAACCAAACCGGGTGTGCTGGTTGCAAATTTTTATATCCAAGTGTACTAGTTGATGAGACTAGATTCCTAGCAGTTTTTAATGGAAACCAATGTAAAATAGGGGAACACTTTTCTTAACCTGCAGATTTGATTTGAAGCCCTGATGTTAGGATGGTGGCACTGTTACAGAGGCAAGGCAAAGGACAGAGGGAGTTTTGGGGCTTTTAAAAGAAAAATTAGTGGACACCTATTTAAAAGAAACAAGGACACAAAACCACACCTATTTACACAACATAATCTGTGTGAATACCACTCCAGCTGGCATTGAATTTAATTTTGAGGTAGAATAACTATGGCGTATGAAAATGCGCTGTGAAATCTTTGACAATTGTTCAATGACTTGAGTGAAATTAGTGCGGCACCTTCTGAAACCAACCATTACTCAAAGAATCTCTCTTTTTATCGTGTGCTGTCTCTCAAATGTTTTGGATCTATTTTATTACTGTATGCTGGAGTCAAACATGCTGTTTTTAAAACCTGTCCTTTGATACAAATTCACTTGCTTGTTAATATATTGGTTTTTGTTTTCTATCTTTATTGATTAAAAGAAATAAAATGCTTCTACAAAACCAGAGTGCTGCTTGTCGCTTTAGCTGTTTTCCACAATTATTTTTTGTTTGGGGCTTGATGGGAGGAAGATTACAACAGAAGGTCATGGTATTTTCTTAAATTTTTTTAGTTACTCAGTTTTGTTTCAAAGTAGTAATGGAGGGTTCTACCTCTTCAGTTACTTTTGAGACATACTTGCCTCAATGCTATCTATCTGTTCAGGTCAGCAATAAAGACAGTATGGCACAAAGCAAAAGACCTAGAATTTATAGAGTGGGAACTGACTGTAATGCTAGCTGTGGAGAGAGAATTTGTGTTGATTCATTTCAGTTCACTGAATATCTACAAACTGAATGCACGTCAATTTGCATCCACCTTTTAAATTTTGCCATGCAGGGGTGCTGCCTGACACTGGTCGGGTCAAGTGGCCCAAACATATGCCTAAATATTGGTAAAACCTTGTGTTTTGTGCATTTCTTCACCATACACACGCTTGCTGGATCTTGAATGACTCCTGACAACTGTGCTTTTGAGGTTGATTTGATACCATTTTTCACAGCGTGTGCCTCATGTTTTGTTTTTCATGAACTTTAGTCAGATGCAAGTGTTTTCGATCTGACAAGATGTAAGCAGCAAGAGTGTGTAGCAAGATTTGCACAACAAAAAGTTTGTACTAATGGTGGAGGTTTGATAATTTGTTTCTGTTGGGAACTTTCCATATGCCAGTTGTGCCTCTGCCCTGAAAATGGAATATGTCTGTACGGAACAGCAACTTTTCAATTGTCAGTTGTGGCCTATCCTTTCACTTATCCTTCAGAGTCAGTAAGTTCATCCTAATTCAGACTTGTGTACATTATCTAAGCTGTCATTGCACTGTAGCAATGCAGTGCCAGATGTACCATCTCCTCTCCATCCATACTGAAAAGATCCCATGCTAGTATTTGATGAACAATTGTCTCTGGAGTCTGACCAATGTGCATCACTCAAGCACCAAGACTGCAAAAACAATTTTTATTTTCCTTTTTCACTGCGGTAATGGATCTTTACCGAAACAGTCAAAAATTGAGTCAACACACACCAAATGCAGAGCTATCGTGGCAACTAAATGAGAAAGAGGTGGCCGTTTATAGGCAGAATTCTTGAGTGTTAGGGCATTGATGCCAAAAGCTGCAAAGATTCAAACAGAGAATGCTGAAGACATCTAAATTGGAGAAATTCATGTAACTAAACCCTGCCAGCAAAGAAGCTTCAATGTAGGCAGGGCTGCAGGCAAAAGCTGAGAATTTCAAATGTAAGGCATCACATAATTGTGATTGGAGCTTGGTGTAAATTAAATGAGCTATGGTGTTATGGATCAACTCAAACTCAATTTCATGGGAAATTCAAAGCTAGCAAGGAGTACATTGCAATAATGAAATGTCTCAACAGAAGCATAGGTGTGATTGTGAGGTCAAGTGAGCTGACATGTTGTACAAATGGTTAAAAAACTATCATTTGATAATAAAAAGTTACATCAAGAGATCCCCTTATGACTAAATATGACTCCAAGGCTATGAATAATATGGTCCAGCTTCACACAGACACCAGGCAGTGATGGAATTGCTGAATGGGACCAACGTTTATGGCAACTATAACCACTAACTTTGATTTTGATTTCAAGCAAGTTACTGCTAAGAGTGGCATGTTTGTCAAAGTCTGACAATTTGTGATCAAATAATGTACTCATTTTTGTGGTGCATGTTTTGGCTGTTATATCCCGTTTGCTAATTGAATATCAAATGTAATTGCTTGTATATCAGAAGTTGTAAAATATTCGAAAATCCACTAAAACTTCAAAGGAGCTGTGTGAATGCTGAACTTTTTTCAGTGTTGCCACAGCGTGTCCTTTCTACCGGCTTTGTGCATAGTTTGAATGAAGCAAAAGACGTAGAGGAGGAGTTGCGAAGCAAAATGGTATCACACCAGAAAGAAGCTGTGTCCATAATTCCATCCGTCTGCAATCTGTTGTGTGACTTGTTCCGAACTTATCTGAATGCTCACAGATTTTCTGAAGCAGTGAAAAAGAAACATAATTGATGGAGAAGATGTCTTTTGTACACCAGCTTTAGTCTATGAGACCACAAATAATATCCTGAAATGCGTGTAACTTAAAATTGAAAGGGAGAGAGGAAGTGAGAGCACTAATAGAACTAAAGGCTGGTAAGTGACCAGGACCTGATGGAGTAGCTAAGTAGTTACAGAAACAGTACATGCATTGGTCATAATTTTACAAAATTCCCTTGACTGAGGAAAGGTGCTATCAGACTGGAAAATAGCAAATGTAACTCCTATGTTTGGGGAATGATGGAGACAGAAAATATGTAGTGATAGGAACTGACCTTTCACAACTGTATTTGGATGTGTGCAAGAATCAATTCTTAAGGAACTTATAGCAGGTAACTTAGCAACGTAAATTTAGAGAAGGCACAAAGAGTCTTTCAATGCTGATCGAGGCTCTTCAAAAGTGAGTTGGCAAAAGCTAGGCATTTGAAGTTTCATGTGGCAAAGTGTAAACTTGTGCCCTTCAGCAGGAAGGATAGAAATAACATTATTAATTTAGTTGAGAAACATTACAAAATTTTGCAGTACAGGTGGATCTGAGTGTCCTGGTACATCGAT